TGTGTAAAAATATACGTTCTGCAAAGGATCCCGTTTTACGTTTTTGGCTTTGCTTTCATACGTGGTCACGTTCAAACATCACGTGGCTATTAAGAAGCTGTCACATTCCAAAAGAAAACTCTGCCTCTAAGCCTGGCTTTGCTACATATAACATATACAACTTGTCACATTGGATCCATGTTTGTGTCACTAATTAATGAAAATATTAATTAAATAAAACAAAAGAAGCTTTCTAATATTACTCATCAAGCTTGTTTAAAATTATTTTCATATAAATTCCTTTTCATTGGATACATTGAGTTTATTTCTCACTTAACCATATGGCCAGGTCCATATGTAACAGAAAATTATTCACTACAATCCAATTTAATCATAATATATATATAGTTATTAAGTTATACTTAAACTTTTTTGTAGTTTAACTTAAAACCAATTTTCCCTTTATTTTACTCCACTGCTACATCGCCATCTTGATATATTATTCATAAAAATGTTAATGATAAAGACACATTAAATAACAAAATTACTATTTATCCCCCCCACCAATTATATATTTGGTTTACAATTTTTATTTTTTCTGTGAACATGATTCGATTAATGTTTTAAAATAGATAATTAAAAACTAATTTGTACTAATGAGACGTTATTTTTATTAACTAAATACTTTTTTATACTAAAAAGAAGTGATCTTGGGAGCACAAGATCCACATGTCATAGAAAAATTCAACAAATATGAAAATTGAAACTGTGTGAGATTCAGCAGCCCGTTAAACAATTTACATACCAAGAGAAAACAAGGAATAAAACTAGATTATTTTGTTCATTACCACCCCAACCAATTAATGAAGAAGAAGATGATAAGTAAAGAAAGAGTATAAGTTATATAGTATGATGAATAGGTGGGTTATAACTTATACGTCGTCGTATGTAATAATGCAACCAATCCAACGCCGCGTAATGCATTGCCTCGTCGTCCAGAACATCTGCCATATCTTCTGTGTCCAAATCTTGATTCTTGATCTATAAATAACATAAAAGAGGCACCATAAAGTATGTTAAAGTAAATTAATTAAGAATTTATTATTATACCACATTGGTTTGTTTTTAATGCTTAGAAAATAGGCTCCCACGTGGACTGAGATTGGGTCCACGGGTCTCCCCGTCTCTGGTGCATCTCGATTCTTTCCGACACACTCCTTTCCTATTACTTTATGTAATACTAATAATTAATCGGCAACATTCTTAATTCAAGATGGAACTACAATACACTATTTTTGTTTTTTTTTTAATTTATTTTAAACTTTGTTATAGTTTCTTCTCCGTTTATCCAATTGAATATGCCTTTTTAGTTTTTACGATCTGTTAGTAGCGCATGAAAATTCTCCTTTTAAATTTAACTCTCTTGTTAAGAAAAAAATATATTGAATTTAACATCTAACTTGGACAGTATTTTATGAAATTACAATTCTATGAGCTCAATTCAAACAATTGGATCAAAGTTACTGAGCACATGTTCTGATTAAAGTAACTTTAATGGTAATTCATCCCGATTGAAATATATATATATATATAACAGATATAATAAGATTGATGATAATTTTTTATGAATTAATTATTCAGTTATCAATATTTATTCCATTAAGATAATTAAAAATAATTCTAAAAAATAATATTTATTTAAATATAATTCGAGAATTTTTTTTGTCTTTACCTATATATATTTATATAATATTAAAATGTATTTTATTTCTGTAATTAAATAATATTTGTTAATATTTTTATTTATTTATTTATTTTTATATAAAATCAAATAATATATTTTTATCTTCTTAATTATAAGGTAACACTTTTTTTTTGTTTATTTTTTTGTTAAATTTTGTATTTAAATAATTTTAACTATAAGTTTTATTTTTTTAAAATAATTTAAATTTTATCAAATACAAATATTATTATATAAAAATTGATTATATATTTAATTAAATTTTTATTATATTTAAAAAGTAATTAGATCATAAAAAAAGTTTAATGTCATATTTGTAATAAAATTTGAATAAATTAATATATTTAATGAGATTATTTTAATAAAGGATATTTTTGTGAAAAATATTTACATAGTTAAGAATATGTTATTGTAACCGAACGTAAAAATCCTTAATTTTTAGAAATTTATATGAACATTTTCAAGAATCTTTACGAGTAACTAAATAAAATTTACTTAAAATCATGATTCCTAGGATTTGTAATTTTAAGAAAACAATTTTTGAATATGAAAAAAAAAAAAAACTCCTTACCAAATGCTCGTTAAATGTCAAACAAAAAAGAACAAAAGTTGTACATAGTTACTCATTTAATATTAAGACAATATGTCTAGATATAAAAAAAAAGTTTTACAAGTAATGTTATTTATCAAAATTAAATTAAAAATATAGGTCACAAAAGATGACATGTCTCAAAAATAATAATGGACCAAAGTAATGTGTTTGAGATTGACTTCTATATGTCCAAGATAGATTGTTGATATATTTGAGGTACATAATTGATTAGAATTGAGCTACTAATTAGTGTTGATTCTATCGAACTCTAAATGGATTGGAGTTTGAAAACTTCGATGTTTCATCATGCTTAGCATATACAGACAAGATGTTGTGAAAATGAATTGATAATTTGTAGAACACACTTTGGTGTTAAAGTTAATAGTAAGCATTTTGTTATGTTTTTTTTAAATGTTAATTTACTAAAGTCACAATAATAATATTTTAAAAATTAGATCGATCATCAAATTGATTAGGATATTGAGTCAATGAATCAGAAGTTGAATCAGTAAATCATTCATTAAATTGTATGAACGAGTTTTAATTAACTTTTTTAAAAATATTTATGTCATATATATTTTATACATATAAATTTTAATAAAATTCATACCATAGCTCAAAAAAGTCTCCAAAATAAATTATAGTAAATATAATATATTTATAAAACAACTAAATTATAAATGGATTGAATCACATATATTAATATATAATTTTAAATTAAAGATATATTATATAAATTATTTTAATTCAATTGTATAATAAAATAATATGTTAATTAAGTTGTCACTAAGATATTAAATAAGCATATTTTATAATAAATTAATATATAATTAAATATATAATTTTACAAAGCCTATATAATATTAATATTATTCAACTCATACATTTAACAAGTAAAGCTTGTCGGTTCAATGGTAAGGAAGCTATCACTTTATGTCCAATGCCAAAGATTGAATCTCATTGACAACAAAATGGACTACTTTAATGAAATTTTTTGGTGAAAATTTTGTAGAGGTTTGTGAACCAATTTAAAAACAATTCTCAGGTTGCCCGATTCAACCACCTGACCAACCGATTTTTACCAATTTAAAACGGGTCAATTTTGATCGAGTCATCGGGCCTCAATTTGTTCGACCAGTCCAGTTTTTAAAATCATGGACACTAATTATACTTATAAAAGTAAAAGAAGAGTTGAATTTTCATACATGAAACCCAAGGCTTCTTGTAGGCAATAATATAATGTTTGGTGTAACAACAAAGTGATTTCACCCATATGTTGGTGTTTTTGTTACCGGTGTTAATAACATTCAACACTTAATATGATGTATGAGTCTAGAAGAGTCATTATACGGATTGAGCTTAAGCTCAATCTATTTTAAAAAAATAGATAAGATAAATATAATGTAGAAATATAAATGTTAGATTAAAATATCCACTTAAATCTTTCACAAATTGTCTTTAATCGGTTATTATGAACATGTATAATATTTTTTAATGTACACAGTATTTTTGGTCATTGTATTTTCCAGTCAATTATCGTCCTCATCTAATCTAAATCAACCAAATGCTCTTGTTTCGTAGGCAATTTCTATTGAATTAGAAGAATGGGTAACATTAATCAAGCATAAAATCGAAATTGTAAACAGAATTAGAAGGAGAAAGTAAGTGTAGTGAGTGTTTGCTTTAGATTTAGAAACGTGATTTTTCACTCTCTCTCCACGTTTACAAGGCAATTTATGTAGAAGCTACAATTTTTTGCTTCTCACAAACGTGAATTTTCTCGTCCAAAAGCTAAAGCAAACACGCACGTAACGGAGGTGGGAAAGTGGTTTTGTCTCGTGTTGAGTGTTGTCTTTATGGAAATCCACAAGAAAATGGAAACAAGGGAAAGCAATTGGTTATTGGGGACAGAACACAGAAGAGGCCTATGTGGCAGCGGAAAAGGGGGTGAGAAATGTTAGAGAGTAGTTTGGTTCACACTCTGGCTATCCAAATTAAAAATTTATTGTCCCCTACCCCTTGTTGTTAAATAACTAATCTCTATTATTTTGTTTGTATTAGTCAAATCAAATGGAGGACTAGTCACCCTAACTCTGTATACAAGAATAGCTATGAACAGAATAAATTATAAATAAATAAACAAGTGAAAGAAATTGGCAACCAAGCGTGAAGATCCTCTGCCATTCACAGTTCTTAAGTTGTGCTCACGCTACTTGTTTGCCTTCAATCTGAATGTCACAACGGATCTCTATGTACTTTCTCTATCGTCATTTTCATTGTTAAATTAATAAGATAATAGAAAGAAGCTAACAGAAATAATTAAATTTTCATTAACAATGAATTTTAAAAAATCAAATATTTTTATAAACTTACAGTTTTTTTTTTTTTTTTTATAGTAGTAGTAAAAATCTTCAGAAATTAGTTAAAAGTTAAAAATAACCTGTGATTAAGAGAGAGAGAGTAATAGTACACTAGAAACTCTTTAAATTAATACTCGGTAAATTAATAAACTTTCTAAAATAATAAATTTGTCCGGTCCCGATTTGGACCAATGTAAAAAATTGAAAAACTCGATAAAATAATAAGATAATAATTTTTCGGGAGATCCCTTTATAATTTTTGATCCCAAGAAAATCATAAATTAATAATTCATAGAAATTGAAAAACGCCAACTATTGTTATCGGGTGATGCCTTTCGGCTTGAAAAACGCAGGAGCAACTTATCAAAGGTTGATGAACAAAATTTTTCGACACCAACTTGGCAAGAATATCGAGGTGTACGTCGATGATATGGTAGTTAAATCGGCAGACGTCGCCCAACACATAGCTGACCTTTCTGAAATATTCCACCAACTCCGCAAATATGACATGCGGCTCAATCCAGAAAAATGTGTGTTTGGCGTATCGGGGGGCAAATTTCTCGGCTTCATGCTGTCGGCAAGGGGCATCGAAGCCAACCCCGATAAATGTCGGGCAGTCATTGATATGAGAAGTCCCCAAAACTTCAAAGAAGTTCAGAAGTTGGCCGGGCGGCTCACATCCCTATCAATATTTTTACCATGTCTCGCCGAGCTAGCAAAGCCTATTGTAGGTTTGTTAAGGAAAGTCAAGAAATTTGAATGGTCTGTCGGTTGTGAAGAGGCTTTCCAAGATTTGAAGCAACGTCTCGGCTGCCCCCCCATTCTCTCTAAGCCTGACCCACGGGCAGACATGGTGGTGTACTTGTGCATGTCGAATGAAGCCATAAGTGTCGTCTTAGTGCAAGAAAAGGACGTGCAACGGCCGGTGTATTTCATTAGTCGAATGCTACAAGAAGCAGAAACAAGATATCAACTCCTGGAGAAAGTGGCGCTCGGACTAGTTCACACGGCTCGTCGTCTCCGGCAATACTTTCAAAGTCATCATGTGGTCGTCCGAACTGACTGCCCAATTTCCAAGGTTTTGCGCAAACCAGAGTTGGCTGGGCGAATGATGGCCTGGTCAATTGAGCTTTTGGAGTTTGATATAACTTTTGAGGCGCGAGGCCCGATTAAATCCCAGTGCTTGGCCGATTTTGTAAACGAATTACAGCCGAAAGGCCATTTTGAGAGTGACTTGTGGACAATGCATGTGGACGGGTCTTCAAATAGCCAAGGTAGCGGAGCAGGAATAATCCTTGAAGGACCAACCGGGTTGGTTCTCGAACAGTCCCTACGATTTGCGTTCAAGGCCTCAAATAATCAAGCCGAGTACGAGGCATTACTGGCAGGACTACGGCTCGCCCAAGAGGTTGGGGCTCGGCGAGTATTGTGTTGGACAGATTCGAAGATTGTTTCGAAGCAAGTCAATGATCACTTTTAGGTGAAAGATTCTAACTTGTTGAAATATTACCACTTGTTCCAGAACACACGCAACACTTTCGATGAAGTCCAGGTCAAACATACCCCCCGAGAACACAATGAGCGTGTCGATCAGCTAGCTCGGTTGGCTAGCAGTAGTCAAAAACTTGGGCAGCTTCGAACTACTCTTCATCTCGACCTTGCAACTCCTAGTGTCAACTCGGTTGAATGTATGTCGGTTGATGAACCCCAACAAACTTGGATAATCGAGATAATGGATTATATTGAAAAGGGAAAGCAACCAACTGATCCGTCAGCCGCCAAAAAGCTCCGAACGCAGGCAGCCAGATACTCGGTTGTTAGCGGAGAATTCTACCGAAGGGGCTTCTCCACTCCACTACTGAAATGCCTTGATTCAACACAAGCAGACTATGTCCTGAGAGAAGTCCATGAAGGGATATGTGGGTCTCATTCGGGTGGAAGAACTTTGGCAGCCAAGGTATTGAGAGCGGGGTACTACTGGCCAACTCTTAAAACTGATTGCGCCGAATTTGTAAAGCGATGTGTGCAATGTCAGCGCCATGGAAACATAATTCACGCCTCGGCTGAAGAGCTACATAGTATTAGTGCTCCTTTGCCGTTCGCCCTGTGGGGGCTGGACATCCTCGGTCCATTCCCCCTCGCCAAAGGACAATGTAAATTTCTGTTGGTCACTATCGACTACTTCACAAAGTGGATAGAAGCCGAACCGCTAGCCACGATCACGGCCAGCATGGTTCAGAAGTTCCTGTGGAAGAACATCGTCACACGATTCGGCATACCATATGCCATTATAATGGACAACGGTCTTCAGTTCACAGATCAGAAGTTAAACAAATTTATCACCGACTTGGGTATACGACACCGATTCACATCGGTTGAACATCCTCAGTCAAACGGACATGCCGAGGCTGCAAACAAGGTCATTCTAACAGAACTGAAAAAGCGCTTAGGAGATTCTAAAGGCGCCTGGGCCGAAGAACTGATAGAAGTCTTGTGGGCTTATAGATGCACACCTTAGTCCACAACAAAGGAAACCCCGTTCCGATTGACATATGGTACGGATGCCATGATCCCCATAGAAGTTGGCGAGCCTTCGTTCCGTCGGATACATTTTGACGAGGCAAGCAATAACTTATCCCTTCGGGAAGAGGTTGATGTTGTAGATGAAGTCCGAGACAAGGCACGCATCGTAGCCGAGGCATGCAAACAGAGGATGAGCAGGCGATTCAATTCCACGCTTTCAAAGCGATGTTTTAAGGAAGGAGACCTAGTATGGCGCGTTCAAGGATCGACCAGGCGCAACCCCCGTGAAGGTAAATTAGCAGCAAACTAGGACGACCCATTCAGAATCCGCCACTCTCTCGACAACGGCGCATACAAATTGGAAGAGCTTTCGGGAAAGATCATTCCAAGAACGTGGAACTCAACTCACTTGAAAGCTTATTTCAGTTAACCAAATTTCTTGTAAAGATTAACAATCAATGTATGCAGAGTGCACTCTTTTCCTTGATCGGTCTTTTCTCCCCTTATAAAAAAGTGAAAAAGGGTTTTGGCCGACAATGTTTTTAACGAGGCACATCATATTAATGAAACACATTTTAACTCAGTCTGTGTATTATCTTCATTCAAGTTGTTACAAACAGGCTTCCCTCCCGAGTGACCGCACTCGGCTAAGGACGTGCCTTCAAAAACGTACAAACAGGCTTCCCTCCCGAGTGACCCCACTCGGCCAAGGACGTGCCTTCGGAAACGTACAAACAGGCTTCCCTCCCGAGTGACCCCACTCGGCCAAGGACGTGCCTTCGGAATCGTACAAACAGGCTTCCCTCCCGAGTGACCCCACTCGGCCAAGGACGTGCCTTCGGAATCGTACAAACAGGCTTCCCTCCCGAGTGACCCCACTCGGCCAAGGACGTGCCTTCGGAATCGTACAAACAGGCTTCCCTCCCGAGTGACCCCACTCGGCCAAGGACGTGCCTTCGGAATCGTACAAACAGGCTTCCCTCCCGAGTGACCCCACTCGGCCAAGGACGT